CAAGTAGACAGGTTTTAGACTATTTTATTTAGGTTATTTTAAAGTGTAACCTAAGGATTACAAGCAGCAAAAGAAATGGCCATTAAAAGCATAATTATTATTTCAGCTTTCAAACACTGACACAGACAGCTTTTTTGTTGACCCTAAAAAAAACAGTGTGTGGGCATTTCCTAAAGTACTTCCTAAATAATGATACCCATATTTTGAATACATTTCTGTGCAATTAGAGCATATGTGTACAAGTGTGCTTTGCACTGATGTTGCACCATATTTGCTGTGTGAGCTCACAGTCACTTACAGAAATAACAATCTAATTCAAAAATCTGAACAATAACTACAGCGTGAATCTGAGAAGGTGAAGTGAGTATTACTTTTTGCCTTGGTGCAGATTTCATTTTTCTTCTTTTTAATTTTATTTCATTATCATTAAAATGCATTTTACATCTGTTTTCAAAGGCTCTTATATTTACAACTATACACAAGGATAGCAATTCCTGAACAACTGGTACCAAAAGTGACTAAGGTTTTATGTAATTGGAGGTATAAGTATTTCAATGGCTTTTAGAGAGGACATAGCTAAACTGAATGTCAATTTCCTAAGCCAGGGCCTGATGCTGGATATTTAAGGGTGCAAAAACTCAAGAGTTCTCTGACTTCTTCATTCATTACGAAGACTGTGAAAAATCACCTCTCTCAGACAACATATTCCTTTCTCTAGACCATGAATGTAAGTGTTAGTGATAGTCAGCAACTATGAATTATGATTATGGAATGCATAAATTATATATGGATGGATCTCATAGAAATCTGAGATTTCTGGGGAAAAAAAAAGATAACAGATCCACACAGAACTAGGCAACAGTAACTGCTCAAAGCATTAATTATTCGACTTGCTGAGAATCACTTGAGCTTAAAAGTGCTCATCACTTATTAATATCAGATCTGATACAGTGTCCAGTTCATGGAAAATTTTTTTGGAACTTAGCTGTTCACACTCATAGTGAAGAAAGGCGCATAGACCACAGATGGAGGCAGTTTCTGCTTTTCTGGATCAGGACAATTGACAGATCCATGGAAAACTCCCACCTATTTCACCTTTCTCCATCATCAGCCATCTGCTTTCAGCACTGAGGATTCCCACTATCATCACGGAGCAGCACAAGATGTGATCCCAAACTGCAGAGCATACAAGTGGGTTGTCTCAAGACCCTTGTGTTATGTTCCTCATAACACTAGTTAGTGCCTGGTTGTTCCTAGTTAGTCCTTGCATCAGGCCAAGATGGCTGCTCTCAGAGTCAGAAAACATTGGAAAAAAACAGATCTTAAAAAAGGCCATAGCATACATAGTATAGCTACTCTTCCAGTCGTAACTGACAAAGCGACAGTTTCAGTCTAAGGCTCTTACACTGTTCTAATTAAAAATAAAACTTAAGCCAAAGGTCTTCAGCTTTTTAGGTGGTGTTCTTTTCTTCGGTTTACTATAGCTCTTCTTGTTCTGTTTTGGCATTAATTTTTACAGTCTCTACTCCTGTAAGAATTTTACAGACTTTATAGTGGAAAGGGTCACTTTGAGAAATGGTTCCTGTGCTGTGGCTTGATAGAAAATGAATTCTGAGTTGTCTCAGGAGTAATGGACAGTATTGTCAAGAGACTAAACTCCTCAGGATCCTGAAACCTCTGCATTGGATATATTGCCTGTAATTTAGACTGATCCATTTTAAAGTTCCATTTGAAAGACCTGGGAGTCAAATTCTCAGCTTTTCTAAGTCAGGCCAGATGCAGTACAGCCAGAGCAGCCAAGAGAGATTTACATCACCTGAGGATGCGGCTTGAAATCATGACAACAGAATCACCAGAAACTGTTTTTAAAAGCTATTCTCCAGCTTGCTGGAAAATATGATGCAGAGAAAGCACTAAAAGGTTATACGTTTAGCATGTCTTTGAAAAATATTTTTCTAAGGATTAAGAAGGCCATTACTCCAGAAATGAACATCAAACCATACAAAGCAATTTTGGAGCTGTCAGTTTAGCATCTGTAAAGAGAAAAACCATAGTACGGCTTAGGCAATACTTTCAAAACAACAGTTTAGTCCATAAAAAAACAATGCAGATTACACAGATTGAAGTGTGTGTTTTAACTAAAGTACTGTGAGCCTGTAAATGCTAATCTCAGCGCAGATATGCAAGACAGGCTGAGTGTCACATTCCAAGAGTATTTGACAAGGTTGTTTACTGGGTTTTGGTGAATGAGATACTGAAGAAACTCTGGTACCTATGTGGCACTGAAAGAATTGTGTTTAAAATGACCCAAGGAAATGAAAATTTGTTTCAAACACTGTGAATATAGAATAGGTCTAACTAAGAACATTTTATACAAGATGCAATTACCCCTGACTTTGAGTTTGGCCTGCTTTTCCTAAGGTTGTATGATCATGGACTTAAGTTTGACTTGCATTATCTGCCCGTGCAAATGAACAAGAGGGCTAAAAAAAAAAAAAACAAACAGAAAACCTCCTTCAATATCTGCATCCGCTGCCTGGAGATTTGGTCTGGACACACAGGAACAGGAGGACTCATATGCTTAGTAGGTTTAAGGAGTGGACAAGAAATAAACAACCTTTGGCTTTAATGTATCTGCCTTCCAGATTCCCCCAATCTACACACTGTCCAGCTGTGCTGAGATATAGAGAAGAAGAGGTGAGTGAAAAATGACACGCCTCAGGATCAGGGAGGAAGCAGTGGAAGGCAGTGGAAGAATTTTGACTCACAGGAGTTTTCTGCATCAAATCTTCCAGGGCTGGACCTGGCTGAAGAGACACACATAAAAATCTCTTTGCATAAGACTCCAGCTTAAGACTGTACTAAAGCACTCTCCCAAGAGCACAGTCTCTTATTCCTTCCTTCTGATTAGTCTTTGTTGAGCTCATTGAAGTTTTAGGGTTTGGGGGAGTCTTTTATGCTTCCTTAATACTGCCTTAAATACCCAAAGCTCTAAATTCTCCCTTTCCTGGCCCAGCTTTGATCAAAAATTTTGCTTAGAGTTACCATCTCTTTTTTGTCTCCTCCTTTAGTTTTCTGAATCCTCCTTGGCCACAGTACTGTCTGCAGTGAACACACCAAGCAAATCCCAGTTTATTTTGTTATTTCTTCTTCTTGGAGGGGTATATACCTCCAGTCTCTGCTATCGAGACAATGAATTTAAGTAAAAAAAGTTAAAGCAAATTATGCCCATTCTGTTAGTAACAGATCACTTGCTACCACTCAGAGCTTGCGGTGTTTCACTCAAGGACTCCTTGTTGCATATATGAAAAAATGTCATTCCACTTATTATAATCACCTTCGCAAACCTCCATTGATTATCTCTTTAAAAAGTCATAACTGCATGTGAATTGTCTGAAGAAGGAAACTGTGAATAGCCTAAAATCATGGGCAAGATTCTTCATGGACAGGCAGCTATGTATTCATATTTATCACAAGTTAACATACACAATAAATGTGAAGGACTATTGATATCCAATTAGCTTTGCTTCCAGTGGAAGAATTGTGTGACTGACTTTTAGTACTCTTAAAAGAACATGCATCAGTAAGTAATGACAATATAAATTAAATCTTTACAGCATTATTATTTACATAATTACATTTTAGATAGCATATATGTGTGAGTTACTTTAATGGCATGTGGTTGTGCCGCATTTTTTTCTTCAGCATTAAAATAGCAGAAAAAAAGATAAACTTGAAAAGTAAATTTGTAATTATGAAAGTAATTATAAAAAGTGGTAATCTTTCAAAAGAACAAAAGATTTTGTGCTGTAACACTGAACAGAATTGTCACCGAGGAGTTTTGATTATGCGTTATCATGAGCTTTCAGGCACCAGGGCAAACCCATGAAACTCAGCTTGCTTTCATGCGTTTGGGGGTAAGGGCATTCCATACCTTAATATATCTACTTCTGCTCTAGTGAGTAGAGAACCAGAAAGCAAATCTCATTTGCTATTATCTTGCATTCCTACCTATCATCTGAGTTGATGTTACTCTTTTGAACATTTCCAGAGAACAGACATGTTCTGCAATGGCTCAAAATCAAATTCTCAAAAATTGGCATGATTTCTTCCAATGCTCAAAGGAATAGGGAAATACAGATGACCCAGCTACAACTGTGTGCAATCCTTTTTCTAGTTAGTCTGTTTAATTGAACCCTGTATATTTCTGCACAGCAAAACCATTATTATGGTGAATCATTTTCTGATAGTGCAGGGCTATTTAAATAGACTCATCTATTCTAAGCGGAGCCTTCACCATCTGTTCTACCCTTTTATTACAAATAGAAAAGGAACCTAACTCACTGCACCAGCACATAAAGCCTAGCATTGGAATGATTTAGATGTATGTTTGTGTTCTTTATGTACCTGGTATGTTTTCTCACATACCAAACACAAATCAGTGGGAAGACCTGTCTCTCATAAACTAATAAATTCTAGCGCCTTTATTCCTTTCTCATGTTAGCAGAAATTGATGGCCAGTGGTTTGCATTTTATTAGGACAATTATGACCCTGTTGTTGTCCTGCATGAGTTATATCGATACTAGGTTGACATTTTGTGCCATTTAACATTTGTACCATTTATCTCTCTACAGAAAACAAGTCTGATTCCTATTCTTTTCCTCTTGCTGGGCCTACACATGCTGCGAGTGCTCATCACAGACAGAAATCTTTATGTAAGAGATGTGCCTGGAATATACCAGACTGCTGAAAAGCTCCGTCTTTCCCCAAATGATGTCAAACAATCTCTCTTAAAACCATTTAGAGAAGGAACACGTTCCCCATGGAGTAGCATAGGAACAGAAATTCCAAAACACATCACAATGCATCATTTTTACTGCTAGAACCTGTAAATTTTGAGGCAGGTTGGGAAGGAGGTATATACCTCTCATACTCTACACCAGGAGATAAATTCCACCTTCAATGAAAACGGTACTTGAAAGAAAACCCTCAAGATTACCTGTATTGTAACCCCTCCCAAGCGCTGGCCAGGGACGATGATTCTTCCAAAGGTTGCCCAGATACCAGTCACTCTGGTTCTCCACCAAGCCAAGAACCTGCTGCCCTGGAAATGAGCAAATTGCAAATATATCATCAAACAAGGCAGTCAATCAATGGCAAACACAAATGGGACAGTCAGTGGAAACAGAAGACAGCAGTTCCAAGGCTGTCTTCCCTTCATGCATTAGGAAGATGCCTAGTTATGTAACAGAAAACAATCCTGGCGCAGCAAACCCAGCATGGCTCATTTCTTTCCTTCTCCCCTGGCTAGTCTGAGTAATTAAACACTGTGGGAACCTTTGCTGTGCTGACAAAAATGTATCATCCAGACAAACCTGAATGCTGCTTGATTTTGGAATACAATGATGAAGAACACTCCTGGTGAGAAGTAAGTGTTGGTAAAATGATCATCAAATATGAAGATCTGTTTATACTCTGATAGAGATAATATAATTGAAGAATAAAGCTTAATATAATAAATTATTCTCTTCCCATGCTCCCCCCTCCCTTCCTACTGGCTTGTTTTTTTTTTCCTCAGCCACAAAGGAAATCCCTTTTGCTCTAAAAATATTGGATTCTAAAGGCTTACCTACATAAAAAGTTGCACTGTTTTAATTCAAGAGAGTAATTTAAAACTCATTTAGGTAATGCCTGTGTGAAATTATGATTTCAGCTTTAGATGGGCTTATTTTGTTTTAGCTTACATTGATTAGCAGCTCGTTTCAGCTGAAGTAAAATGTGTTTTAAATCAAATGTGTCTAGAAGGTTTGCACTGCTTAAAAATCAACAGAAAAGTGAATGTTTGTATAGATAAGGACTTAATTATCTATCCTGAGATGTGCTGTATAAAATGTAAATAACAGAAGTGATTGAAACGGTGCTCTTGTGAAGGAATGGAAGGAAAAAAGACTGCATTTTGGATCTAAACAAAGAAAGGAAAGGCAGTGGTGTTTTGACAGAGGGATGCACTCAGTAAGGGCAATATGACTGGGACTGGAAATATTTTACCACCTTACTAGAAAACAGTTAAATATCATGCTCTGCACGAATGTTTCCAAATCTCAGATATGTGGGTAAAACTAAGTGTGGGACCACAGCAGAGCACTGAAAGTACTGAATTATCATTCTGTGCTGCATATGTTGAAGCATTATCTGAATTACTAGAATTTGGTATGGTCACAGACAGAGTGGGCTGTGAAGCAAGACATAAAGACAGAAAATTCATTTACTTTCACAAACAGCTAGGCAGAATTTAGGATGGGTTAGATGACCACAAGAGTCTCTTGTGGGCATTAACAAATACAGAACAGCACATTACAAAAGCATTCAAGGAATGAATGAAAATCAATCTAGAAATGACTCTGTGAGATTCCCAAGTGCACTCCATAGCGTTGTTCAGGATCAACCTACTCTATCCC